CTGGCGGGAAAGTTCTGTCACATTTTTTCAAATTAGACTTTCTTTTTACAGAGAGGCGTACAAGATCAAAATTATACAGCAATGTTATTGAGAGATCCCTGCCAGTTTTCTAAGCACTTCGTGGATGCCATCGCTTCACAATGCACGCCGGCGCGACGCAAAAGGTCGAAGCAAATCTCAATTTGACTTCGGCTCAAGGTTTTCTCGCCCGTATAACGGTTGAATACGGGAAGCGACTAGCAGTCAGAAAGGGCAATGTCTGGACTACACCGGTGCAAGGGTAGAGCCGTCCAGCTCTATAGCATGGCTTCGGCTCGAACTTTTTTGGACGGAGTGGGCCACACCAGCACGTTGAAGACGGACTGTGCCGGCGAATTTTTTCCCTCTGCTTGACGGTTCGCTTCAGATCTCGTAGCTGCTTTGCGTACGCATTGACCGAGGAGGCAGCTTCTTCATCCAGTAGTTTCCCGCCACAGCGCCTTCTGAAGGAGAAATTTGCGCGTTGGGGAGGAAGTTCTCCCCGATTGTTGATGTTTACTTTAAGTACATAATGAACTGTCTTTCTGTTTGAAATCTGCTATATTCTCCTCTCCCCTCTCCCACACCAGCATAGCCAAATTGTTCGGGGGACAAAGTAGGAAAACCATTTCCGGATTCCTGGAAACTGGAAAGAACTTGGGAATTCACGAAGGTAGGTAGATGGGTAAGGAGGGAGAAGGGCGTATCTTGCTCGTTTTTCTGTTTCATCTGTGCTATATCCCCTATCCAACAGTTCGATGCATCAGAGGAGGTAGCTAGAGAGTCGTATCAAGCTGTACCTTAGGAAGGGGGTCGTGCGGATTCGACCCAAACCCCCAACCAATGACGTTTCCTATTCTTTTCCCCTGAGCTTCCTTTCTTCAAAGTCCTTCCTTCTTTTACATACCAAGCGTGATGGATTTCTAGAATGTTCTTCTATTCCAGACAAAATTCGAATTATTTCTTATTTCTCTCTCTTCAATAAACTTTGTACTTTTAGGCTGATGTTGCCCACTCCTACCACACTCTGCTGGATCATGGAGTGAAAAAGGAGAATATAATCGTCATGATGTACGACGACATCGCCAATCACCCAGCGGCTGTCGTCCCAGAATGTTACAGATTCATACTGTTACGGATGGGCCGTCTAGCTTCCCTGTGGATTGGGGGGGGGGCTGGTTTTCGTACTGTTGCGAGCACCAGGCCGCTCAGCGCCAGCTGTTGAAGTGAACATATGGCACAGTTGGCTGAGAAAGCGTTGCTAAACCCGCCTTCCCCCGACCCTCCCAAGCATCAGCAGGACAAGACTGTAGGCGAGCTATCTCACAAGGCCGCGCGACCAGTCACGTCGTTAGTTTTCGGAAGCCTGATCTGGGCGAATTGCAAAGTTTTGAAATGAGCTGAACGAATCGCCATTTTTTATCTTCTCGAAATCTCTACTTACCAGAGTTATGAGGAGAGGCAAAAACAGCTAATGAATGAACATAAATTGCACAAATGTGGGGGAAAATCCAAGTGCTTGCTCGCACGCGTTTGCAACTTCGGGTGGAAATTTTGTTTGTGGGGTAAATTACAAGGTGTGACCGAGCGTTGAGCGCTTCCAGTTAGCGTTACCTCAAGGATAAACTGGACACTCACCTCCGAGGAAGGTCACCGGCGTATACCAGGAGGTCCGCAGCTGCAGCAGCGTACAACGCTCTCCCAAAAGTGTATGTAGACATATGTGGCGTGTAGTGTATCTGAAGTATACTGCACATTATAGACTGTATGTGCAGTCTCCATACTTCGGTCGCTCTATCCTTAGTGTGTAGCACTCGCGGCGGTACCATCAGCGAAACACGCACCCAACGGCAGAGAACAACCAGAAGTGAGAGGGACGCAGGCAAGCTGCTCGCCTGATCATGGTTACACATGAGGATGGTCATGAGGTTGTGCGGGTGGAGCGTGGAGACGACACCTGAGTATCACTTCGCTTCTGCTCCCTTCTCTTGCATTTTTGAGCAGAAAAAGTGGCACGCTACTGCAGTGCGGACCCTTTCACCTCACACATGACCAGGACCACGGAAAAGGGTGTCCAGCTTGTAGTTGAACGTGACAAGAGTGGCCGCTGCCTCGGGTTCTTCTTTTACAAATAAAAATGCTCCTTGATTATTCGGCTATACTCACTAACTCGTCTTCCAGAAACCCTTACAAGGGACAGCTCTTCAACTCACCTTACGGTCCAGATGTCTATCAAGGATTGAACATTGACTACAGGGTAAGTGGCACGGTGT